AATAGGAACATTCAACACTTTTTGGCCCTCTGCAAGTTCACATTTAGAAAGGAATTAGCTCTAGTTAAGCTTAGAGCTTAAAGCATTTATCAACCAATGTTTGATTAATGGCTCAACAGCTATGCATAATTTTCATGAACTTCTTTACTTCCTTTTTTGTTTTTCAAGTCTCCTTTGTAGAGCTCTGTACATACTGTAATTCAAAATTTAATAAAATCAAGTAGGGGGCAACCCCTCCTGTTTTTCATAAAAAAAAGAGATGTGTTCTGTATTGTGAATCGTGGAAAATAATCAGGTGTGAGAACTCCCTTTGGATTATGTTTCAGTCAGATTATTATTAGAGTTATCTTCATAATTGTTATATGTCATTTCTTATAGATAGTATGCAAACCAATTTTACAGATAATTGTATCAACTGGATCTGGGAGTTCGATTTAGCTGCATACATCTGGTAGACTTAATTGAAGTAAGTAGATTTAAGAAGGAGCAAACTGGAGTAGGAATTTGAGCCTCATCTTGGTTATGGGCATATGTTACTTTTTTCTCACTAATTACAGTTCATGTGTACCATCACTATTATTAAATCTGTATTTACAATATGTTAATATTGACCAAACGCTAATTTCCATGATGATTTTACAATATGTTAATATTGACAAAATACAGGACATGTCACTTTTGGTACACTCTTGTTTATGTTGTGTTTACATTAAAAGCCTTATTCTCTTCGAAAGCTTCACCATGAACATGGCTCCATGTGCTTATTATGAAGTGTGTAAGTAATTCCATTTTTCCTTTACTTGCAGATGTTGCCCAAATTCTCTACCCTTGCATGCAATGTGCTGATATATTTTTCTTGAAGGCAAGTATTTATCGCGCTATTGCATTCCTTGGTATTCCAAAAGAAATTTTATTGAATTCTCTTTGAGTTCTAAAAGGCTTTTGATATTTCCATTCTGACTGTATTTACACATTAATTAACAAAGACTGAAAAGCTTTTGATATTTCAAAGTGGTGTGCACCTTCAATATAGAAACAAGAATTCTGCTTACAAATCATTTTCCTTATCCTTTTTCTTTTGTAGGCTGACATATGCCAGTTGGGGATGGACCAAAGGAAGGTCAATGTGCTACCTAGGGAGTACTGCGATGACATCAAAAGGAAGAACAAACCAATTATTCTTTCACATCGTATCCTGATTAGTGATTTTGATCTTGTTCTCTTTTTTTCCCTGTAAATATTTTTCTGGGACATATGTGTATGTCATGGTCATGTGTCTACAGTGATGGAATTCATAACAAGTGGTTGTTCATTGCTTTGTTTGTGGAGCATGTACTTTTCGCTTAACCTTAAATGCAGATATGCTTCCTGGTTTTAAAGAAGGGCAGGAGAAAATGTCAAATATCCATCCTCGGCTATCTTTATGAAAATGATGAGGTATACATTTCTCATGAAATGTTTTTCTTCCTCAACAAAATTCTTTTGTTGCTCTTGGTTCTTGTGACACCTAATGATTGCGCAAGAGTGGTTCAACTCTATTTTGCTTGGGTCAGTGGAGATGGTAGCATGGTGAAGGATACTGCCTGGCTAGAATGTTGTACAGCTGTAGTATATGTTTCTCATCTCCTTGCTAAAAAATAAAGCTGTATCACTATATTAAAAATCTGGTGTTCATGACTTTAGTTAGCTGTGTTTCATCTATATGTGTAGGGGGTGATGCACCCTCCCACGTGTGCGCTGCCCCGACAGTAGCCGCAGCCATGGTGCGGCCAGGCTAAGGGATGGCGACAAGCGGCGCACAGGGCTGATCCGGCGCGGCCAGCCTGGATCCGGCTCCTGGATGGCGAGAGGCAGCACCTGCTGAGTGGACACGAGGATGAAGAGGGCGGCGAGATGAGTATTAACCAGTTCGTGCTGGTATGCGGTCTTTCCTTTCCTTTTGTTTCCTCCCCTTCGTTGCCTATGGAATGCGCTGATGATTGCGTTTGATCCTCAACCAATGAAATTGGTAGCAGTACTTATTTTGAGTGACAACGACTAATGGTCAGATGCTTTGTAAATTTGGCAGTGGCCCGTACTTGCAGTGGCGGACAGCTGCTGCTGGTGGACTTGAATCAGCACACAAGTAGCTCTGTATAAGTTAAACCAACTGCTGCTGTTATAAAAGAAGTTAATAAAAAAACTGCTGTTCAGTAAGCTATAATACTCCCTCTCCCGTGTACATGTATTCTTCTATCTAAAAATTAGATCGAGCTTGGGGCTACTGAACTTAAGTCCTTTTGCTACTAGATACATTTAGAATATTTTATTAGCCTTGCTAAAATATGTTTGTTCCTACAGTTAATACATTGATAGTCACGTGTTTTTATGATACCGATTTTGGAGCAGCTGCACAAAGAATATATTTGTTCCTACAGTAGATAGTCGTCTTGTGTTCTTGCTTATTCTGTTAGATGGGCTGGCCTGACCAAAGAATATATATTTTTAGCTATCTACTATATAAATTGCTCCTTATCGATTGCGTCATTTTTCTACGGTACGCCCGCCGAATCATGATAAAAGTTGCAGTCTCTGTCATCTCTTCGTAACATCGGCCTATTTATAATTTTATTATTATTATAAAACCCGCACCTATGGAACTGACTTTGCTATGTTCCTCTTCAAATTTTTAGTCGTGGTGGCTTATTAACCTGATGACTTTGCTGGTGGTGCTGCCTACAAGATGAAAACAAGGACATTGAACGTAGAGGGAAGCGACAATGAGGACAGTGAACTTGTAGGCTTTGTAGCTCTTGTCTGTGTCTGTCAACAAGTACGTACTCTGTTTTAGTTTGCATATATTTCAGTTCTAATTTGCATGTATCTAAATGTTGCTGTAGCGTTAGCACGGGCGGTATACTAGTACTATTAATAAGAGTTAACTTGGATGACTATCATTGTGTGCTCTGTCAACAATCTTCTGAAGAAACTTTAATGCATCTTCTCTTGTACTGCCCATTTGCTAAGGATTGTTGGGGGGCCTGGAATTTTCAGTTTGCAGAACAGCTCTCTACGCCTCAGATCTTTCAAGATTGGAAAACTCTTCAGAATGTTAGCTTTGCACTTGACATTTTCATTCTGATTTGCTGGGCAACATGGACAATGAGGAATGATGTTATTTTTAGAAACAAAAATCCCTCAGTTGAGGACTGCAGAAGGGTAGTCACGGTGGAATCTCTTCTCTCTTCTCTTGTTGCACAGAACAAAGTCAAGAATCACCCCCCTTCTTGAATCATGGATAAACTCCAACTTGTAATCTTTTGGATTTTTTACTCTTTCTCTGTACCCTGAGGCTCCCAGTTAGAAAGGGGATGGGCATAGGATGTTAGCTTTCTTTTCTTACCCTTTGTATTATCGTCACTCTGTTACCTTTTTTTAATAATAATTTGCAGTAGGAGCCTCTGGCTCCTCTGAATCTTCAAAAAAAAAAAGAGTTAACTTGCATATATATTTAGTTCACAAAAATAACGATATATAGTACAATAAATAAAGAAATTAAAAGATAAATAGATACGAACGGGAACGGCAACCACGCTGAGTGACGCGTGAATACGAAGATCGTAGACAGGCATGCGCGAATACGCAGACTAGTCGCCGACTCGCCACGCAAACTGGACTTTTTTTTTTTTTGAGGAAACTACTGGACTGTTTCTGAGCCGAATACATATGCTATAGATACATATACTCATGGGCCCCCGCCCGTCGCACTGCCTGCCCTCCCTTTAAGACAGGCCTGGCCTTGAGAAGTGCAATCTCAAGTGTGTAACATGAGCCATTTTAATATTTTTTAAACATATAATACGGACATTCACAGATATATGCACATGTATCCACCCCTATAAATACTGCTATATACAACATTTCTAGGGGCAACTACAGATGGTTCGTAGGGATGGCTGACGGCTATAAATAGTTTGTAGGGGCGGCTGGGCCACACAAGGCACGCGACTTTTCACGCACCTTCACTGCTGTAGGGGCTTGTCAAATCTACTACCTCAGGCCTCGCGTGCCACTCCACTCATAAGTCACTTGTTGTGTCCATATGACATACTCGTCCTCATTATATTGTTATCTAATTTTGAAATGAATATTCGGGACCCTAAACGAATTCAAATGAAAAAGCTGATACTCTTAAGAATTGAGGATTCCATCTTTTCGAATATGATATTGATCAATAGTTCAAAATATTTTCTATTTTTCATGCATCCATAGAGCATATTCATGTTATGGTTGTGGACTATATAAAATTGATCTATTGTCCATGGATTAGAAATTGAGATTATCAACCTAGGTTAGGTGGGGTCTCAACTAACCAATGCATTGTTTGTTAGTACAAGTATTGGATATCAATTGACAATAACTAATGAACACGATTGTTGGCCATCATGTGGTTAAGTGCTTTATAGGACCATGTGAAGGTACTATCACACAAGATATTAAAGAAATTATTGCACTTTATTTCTTTGTTTATTTCTTTTTGGTTCACTGCATTTCATCAATTTACACCACAATCTTGAACTAATTTGTCTCAGGAGCTCAATTTACTTGTCCATCTTGGTTTTCTGCTTGAGCAAAGAGGTTAATCACTAGAATTCTGATCCAAATCCTTCAACTGTAAGTTACACTTAAATATGAATGTGTAAAAAGAACAATTTTTCATGAAGTACACATGATAGATTGAAGTCAGGACTTGATGGTTTTCAATCTTACTTGGTTCTTTATTGTTACTTTAGCAGCGGATCACAATTCCTCAAGTACAAAAGGTCCGTGGTTTAAAAAAGTTTACAAACAACCTATTTTTCAATAAACAAAATGTTAAGCTACTCTAGATGACGTCGATGCGTCCTTTCGAGACTCGGAGGTGAATCAAGGAAGAAATTAAGGGAGTTGATTCGGTGCCCGGGAGGTAGACAGAAGTAAGGCGAATGTTGGGGGGCCCCATATCCCTCATGGGCTCTCCCTCAGTTTGCATGTTTTAACCTGACCCTCGATGCAGACCGAAGTATCACATCACATGAGCCCCATAGGCAATCCCTAACTTCATCTGAGGCGGCTTCCGAAGTGATGGCTTGGCAGGCGCAAAAAGTCATCTTCGGAGATACCCCCAAAGGAAGCATAGCAGGTGCACCATCACCCAAACCTTTGTGTTCTCCTTATGAACACAAAGGTTTGGCTGAGCTGCTACCTGAAATCGCCACCGACGACAGGACGGTGATCATCACGTCAGAGAACGAAGCATTTGGGCGAGGCCTAACTCGTTGCTCGGCCTGTTCCGCGAGAGCTTTCGGGCCGGCGAGGGAACCAAACACTTCCTTGACCATGTCCTTGTCGTCGCCGTCGACGCTGTGGCGTTCGTCCACTGCAAGGCCGTGCACCCACACTGCTACCTCCTCGAGGTGAAGTCCTCCACGAACCTGAGCTCCGAGAACAGCTTCTTGAGCGAGGCCTACGTGGAGCTCGTCTGGGCCAAGCTCTCGCTGCAGCAGCGCGTCCTCGAGCTCGGCTACCATTTCTTCTTCACCTTCACGGTACGCCATCAGCCATCCATCGAAGCTCAAACGATTTAAGCACGGATGCAGCGCATTTTAGATTATGACCTGAAGATGCATCATGGCTGCACGTCCGGCTGAGATCGTCTCTCTGCATGCAGGACGTGGACGTCGTGTGGTAATGCGCAAGCGCAACCCGTTCCGGCACATCAGCGTGTTTCGCGGACATGACGACGTCGAGCGACGACGCCAACAGCCTTGACGACAACTGGTCCAACACCGGCTTCTACTACGTCAAGGCGACGAACCGGACCGTGGAGATGCTGCGGCAGTGGCGGGCTGCGCGGCGGAGGTTCCCGCCGAACCACGGGCAGGCCATCTTCAACGAGATCAAGCACGAGCTTGCCGCCGCCCTCGGGGTGCGCATCCAGTTCCGGCCTCGACACGGCGCGCTTCGCTGGCTTCTGCCGGATCTTCCACAGCAACATGGGCGCGGCGTGCACCATGCACGCCAACTGCTGCTTCGGCTTCGCTAACAAGCTGCACGACCTCAGGGAAGTGCTCGGCCAGTGGAGGAACTACACTGGCCTGACGCCGCAGGAGAAGAAGAGCCGAAAGTTCTTATGGAAAAGGATCCTGCCAAGTGCGAAACACCGGACAAAAAGAACTGATCGATAAATACATGATCATGCATCCCTAGAGGCAACTGGGCTGCGTCCCACGAAGAATATAATTCTCAATTTTCAAGGACAAATTAGTCAAGAACAAATAAAATGGTATATGTATCCCTACACAGACTTTATTTTATCTGTATGTACATGTGTTGGTTGGACCAAGGCAAGTCAAGTGATCACATCCACAAACTCTATATTTTATTACTATTAGTAAATCAATTTCTAGAGTTGTCTTATTAGGTGAAATATTTTTAAATTTGATCAAATTTATAGAAAAGGAATCCTGCTGAGATTTATGACACCAAATTAGTGTTATTAGATACACTATAAAATATATTTTACAATATGCTCATTTGGTGTCATAAATATTTATGCTCTTTTATAAATTTGTATTTATGCTCTTTTATAAATTTAGACAGATATAAAAAAATTAATTTAAGACAACTCTAGAAACTGATTTATTCGAAGACGAAGGGAGCACATATATGTGGCAACCTTTTTTTAGGGCACCATAAAACTAGAGTTGTGGATCCCAAACTAGAGTTGAATCCTTTTTGGATAATATTTGAATATTAGAATTGTATTCTACCGTAGTTAAAGGGACACTTTTTTATATGATATTTTCAAATATAATCCATGGATTCATGGAAGTACAAAAATCAGCATTGTAGTTACCTATCTACTCCCTATGTTCCAAATGTCCTATGAGTAAATCAAAACTTTAATTAAGTTTATAGAACTAACGTCTACGACAATAAATTACAACAATTATTTTAACTAATACTCCTACATGTTAACATTTTTCTAAAACAATTGGTTAAAATTAGAGATGTTTGGCATAGTCAAAAATTAAGTGACATACTATAGTCTGAAATTGTGATTGTGTTGGCAATGCTTTTTACAATTGACGAGTAGTCGTATGAATCACATACAGTAAATCAGAATGATAGCACATGAGGCACAGAGTTTAACTAGTTTAGGTGGGTGCACCATGTCTCGTGTATATGTGGTCAAGTGAAGCTTAACCTATGTTATATTAGCTCTTGTCGTAGCCATGTTGTGATATCTATAGTTTAGCTTTCAAATTTTGATTTTATTAATTGCCAGAATTTTAAGCCTGTATTTTAAGTTAAAACACTAGTGTTTATTATATTCTTTTTTTGGTAATCTTAAAATAAGTCACCATCACCTTTGTATTCTATTCAAAAATAGATTCTAGATCAAATATTGCAGTCTTTGTTCAAATATAGGTAACTATTAGTAGTATGTGCATGTAACTTAGATGCAAATTTCATGTTGTTTTAATTTATCTATTTTCCAAAAGTAGCATGTATGGGTAAATTTTTAGAAAAATATAGAATAGATCAATAACTATTATTGTTAATGATGATTAGAATCTACTGAACCAATGATGGGATATTTCTACATTTTATAAAAATAGAATTTATATTTATCCTATCAAGTCTTGAGGGAGTTATTATGAAGGCTTCCAATTATAATTAATTAGTTTCTATCCCTTTCTTTAGAAGTAGCTTGAAAAGTAAATTGCCATATATATACTACATTGTTTTTTAAACGAATCAGGCAAGAGAGCTGCTGACTATATTAAAAGATAAGAAGCCCAGATTAGCTAGGTAATACAATGAAACAACAGTAACCCTGAAGGGTCTAGCAACAACAACACAATTGAAGCAACCGAAACAACTAATAACAATTGTTGGTTGGAATGGGACATCAACACACACAGCAGAAGCAGCAACTCGCACCCACCACTGCTATAGACCAAAGACCTAACCCTCCACAAGTTGAAATCTAAATTGTCATGTATACTATATTGTTTTTTAAACAATCAAGTAGGAGAGTCGTCGATTATATTAAAAAGAATAATTGTCGTGCAAGGCTAGTCACCGCCCACGAGGCTCACTTCATATCATCATCCAATATTCATGCCATATTAACTTATCATAATGATGATTTGGTCTTGGTGCGGTCATATGGCTCAGTATCACTCACTAAAACGGGAATTTTCCTTACTGTGCAATTTACTGATAGGAAAACTAAAAATCAATTTCTTTGACGATGAACCTACTGGAAATAACCGACATGGATAGAGCAATATAGAGAGAAAAAAATGTGTAAAGGCCCACCATTAGAAACCATTTTCCTATCGATTTAGAGCCACAGAAAAATTATTTTTCGAGGGGTCTAGGAATTTATCTCTGTCATCAACAGCGACACAAATATGACTCAACACCGTAAGGATAATTTATCTCTGTGGGGTATTTAAATACAAACAGGATAATTAATTTTCCTATCAGTAACCGTTACTCATAGTATAAAATTAAAAATTGTTGATGGCCCACCGTTAGAAAGGACTTTTTTATCAGTTAGAGCCCGATAGGAAAATTATTTTTCAACTGGTCTCGAAATTTATCTCTGTCATCAATAGCCAATAGAAAAAATGACCTCCGTACTATAAGTATATTTTTTCTGTGTGCTAATTAAAAACTGATAAGATTATTAATTTTCCCATCGGTAATCTCACAGAATAATTATATATTTTCCTATCGGTTTTAATTTTCCTATGTGATTTTTAACCGACAGTTTAATATTAATTATCCTGTCGGTTGCTCTAATAACCATAAAAGACTAATCACCGCTAGAGAAATTCCAAAGGTGAGCAGACGGTGGCTGTATATATCGGTGTAGGAGTACTTCTAGAAAATGAACCATCGCACAACGGTGGTTGACAAGGAAAACCGCTGGTAGAGCTTGTTCCCATCGCGCGCGGTTAGCACATTCGTGCGTGTAAAATCGTACTTGTGCTTAAACTAATACTATTAGTGATCAGACATCACGGCAGGTAGAGGTAGTTGCCCCCTATGACCGTATTGGCTAACCGCTGCGCAGTAGTCGTATATGATGACAAAAAGAAATACGTACGACAGCCTTGTGACGATTTAGAAAGATGGGGAAAAAGAAAATTAAAGAGCTTTTCTTCGTTGGCAAAAATGGAAGTTTTATTCAGTTGGTGAGATGAACTATTGGATGATGAAGATCCAAAAACATATCCCAGCTTCAAGGTTAGAAATATTCTAACAGTACGAATTATTTGTTTTCCGTAGAGGATATTACTGAGTCAGAGGAAAATTATGACCCGGTAATCTCGACCGATTCATGCTTATTGGACCATTGGACAAAAGTTGACCTTGACCGTGTGTAACCAAGATTTAGCCAACGAGACGAAATTTAGGAAGTGCGGAAATGAAGTCCATGCCTTGGGAGAAGAGAACGATGGATAGTAGGAGTAGCTACTAGCAGCATTTGATCTGGCCTTGTCATTGGAGATCCAGAGGCTCGCAGGGGCAGAGATATAGAACATGACTAGCGTTGTCGTTGCAGTTTGAATTCGGAGACGCAACAACCAACATGGGGCTTGGAGGCAAGGACAGCAGCCACCTGGTGTCCTTCCTCATCGGCGCTGCTCTGCCCACAGCCTTTCTCCTCTTCCTGGCGTCCGACCGACTCGGCGACGGCTTGTCAAGCATCTCCATGAGCTGGGGAAGCAGTGGAACCCGGCAGTCGGCTGGCCCGCGGGTTCAGGAGAGCGACAACACTACTACTCATGATCAAGAGGTATATATATATATGTTTGATACGTAAATGCAATAGTCTGATGAATAGTGTGGTGTATATATATCGATCGTGCGTGTATACATTTCATTCGCAGGTGGGATTCGCAGGCCTAGCTGAGCTTCTGCCGAGAGTGGCCATGGAGGACAGGACGGTGATACTCACGTTGGTGAACGAGGCATGGGCGCAGCCCGGCTCACTGCTGGACATCTACCGTGAGAGCTTCAAGAACGGCGAGGACATAGAGCACTTCCTCAACCACGTCCTAGTCATCGCCATCGACGCCGGCGGGTTCGGCCGCTGCAAGGCCGTTCACCCTCACTGCTACCTCCTTGAGGTGAATAAGTCAACGGCGAACCTGAGCTCGGCCAACAGGTTCATGACAAAGGAATTCCTGGAGCTGGTGTGGCTCAAGCTCTCTTTCCAGCAGCGCATCCTCGAGCTCGGCTACAGCTTCCTCTTCACGGCAAGATGATCGATCTCCTAAGCCTCGCGTCGATCGCGCGTTACTAGCTCATTTGACCTAACCTAGCTACCATTTATTAGCTAGCTTCGTTCTCATCAGCTTTGCTTCGGCCTGCCGCCGCTTGCTGCACTGCAGGACGCCGACATGATATGGCTTCGCAACCCGTTCCACCACATCTCCGTCTACGCCGACATGAGCTTGTCGACGGACTACTTCAGGGACGCGTTTGCTCCCCTGAACAACACGCTCAACACGGGGCTCTACTACATGAGGTCGACGAACCGGAGCATCGAGATGCTCAGGTACTGGCGGGCGGCGAGAGCGAGGTTCCCCGGCGGTAGCGAGCAGGGGGTGTTCAACGAGATCAAGCACGAGCTCATCACCAAGCTGCAGGCGAGGATCGAGGCCGTCGAGACGGTGTACTTCAGCGGATTCTGCGAGTACCACGCCAACCTGAACAGAGCCTGTACCATGCACGCCAACTGCTGCATCGGGCTGGCAAACAAGGTGCTCGACCTCAAGGATGCTGCCTTGGATTGGAGGAACTACACGAGGCTGACGCAGGAGGAGAGGAAGAAGGGGGGTTTCAAGTGGACACCCCCGGCTAGGTGCTGGAAGACAATAGGTTGGAACGTGTGAATTGTTATCGATCGATGGGTATGGGTTTCATTGTAAGGCCCTTTTGGAACAAAGCAAACTTTCTTGTTTCTGCGTTTTACCTGTGAAAATGACCTGCGTGTAAAGTTCTTTGCATGGCTCCTATCCCAGAGCAGAATTCAGTGCAAGGTGAATTACTGAATTTGGTGAAGAAAAGAATAGTTGACAATGAAACCTCTGCAATGCAGGCCCTGAAGACACAGCACACATCATTTTCGGCTGCACCAATACACAACAGTTTTGGAATGCAGTCGGCATTACAACTAACGAAGATTGGCCTATCGCAAGGTTAAAAGAGATCCAATGCCCAGACCACATCCCACAGAAACACTTTGGCTCCTTCGTGCTGCTCTGCTCATGGCATATTTGGAAATGGCGCAACACCATTGCTATCAGAAAGGAACAAATGACTGTCACGGGTGCCCTTTCAGCATGCAAATTGGAAGCATATATTTGGGGAGCGAGGCTAAAACCTGATGATAGACACATCGCAACAACATGGTGCTCAATCCTTTCAAGTGCAATGTAACAACCTACGCTCCCTATGTTATGTTATGTTTAGTTACTTTCAGTTTCATCAGGCAGCACGATGTGTGCGCCGAGGAATGCCTGAAACCCTGTAATGTTTCAAACTATGGCTTTCAGAGCCGACCAATACAATGAGACCTAGGTGGGGGACCCTCTCCCCTCCCGTTGACTTATAAAAAAATGATCTGATTCCTGTGAAAATCCTGTACAAATCATATGAAATTCCTGCGTTCCAAAGGAACGCTAGGAGCATCTCCAATAGTATCTAAAAAAATACTCCCAAAAATAGTTTTTCCAACCTTTGCAAAATATATCGGGAGACATAAAAAAAACTACAACTCCAACAGTTTCCAAAATCTCGCGCTAAAGAGATAGAAGGTAATTTTACATCAGCAATCCTAAACTATTTCTAAATCACACTAACTGCCTTTGTACTTTATTTCTCTCTTGTAAATTTGCATCAGGAACATGTCCTACTTTTTTTTCCTTCCCCACGTCTTTCCACCTCTGGATTGGCACGACGATACGTGCGTGTAACTTTATGGGCATGGGTGTGGTTTTTTTTTCGAAGTGCCAAAAGATTGAGAGGTGGGTTTGAGAGTTGTTGGAGATGAGTTTTTTCAATCTTGCCAAAATTCCTGTATTGGAAGACTCTTTTGGATACTCTTGGAGATGCTCTAAAGTGGGGATTTCAAGAGGATATAATTTGATCGACGCAAACTTGTAAGGCAATAGTGATGAGCTATGGAGTATATGAACTTCCCACACTTGAAATCTTGCAACTACGGAGAAAAACGTGCGAAGCCCAGGGATCAAGGGCCGGAGGATGGATCGTGGACGGCCAACACTTGCATTGGACACGTCAATAAGCAAGAGTACATGCAAGATGGTGACGAAGACAACATGACCGGAGTCTAAACCAGTGTTGGATCAAGTCAAGGCAAGCTGTTGCGATCACTTGGTGAACCGCTAGATTGAGAACATGGAGGACACGCGTTGACATTGGAGGTTTTGCATAGTAGCTATGCGGCTTGCAGGCCATGCCGATTTCGGCCTCAAAACTGCAGGCATAGTGGTTTTAGATTTAGGCCTCGAAACCTAGGGAGGATCTCAGGGCGGCACATGGCGTCATCGAAGAGCTTGTGTCGAGGCAAAGCGACTTCATGAAGGACATGTAGTCGTCCGATGCACGAAAGACAAATTGAATAATTTTGCCCTGGTGGCTAAGTGTGGTTCAAGTCTAAACATAGAGGTATTCTTGAAAATATGTAATAAGCCTATAAATAAGAATAGTGGTTGCCCAAGACAGCATCTCTTTCACCCTATGTTCTATTCCTTAGGATTAGCCAAGTGCTTCAATGTTTTAGAGAGATTAGGCTAGAGAGGCATGATTTTCTCTTAGGTCACACACATAAGTGCTTCTGAAAAAAAACTGCAAGGCAAATAGATGGAAAAATCAAATCAACTTGTACCGAAAGACATTAGGTTTTATATTAGTTTTGTACTTCAAAACAGGCGAAACAGGTGTTCGTGGCAAAAACTAAGGTACAAATAGTTTGGATTCTATAGATTAGAATCGAGAAAAAAGACCCACACAAACAGAATCCTCAAACCATAAAACAACGTGACGCAAGATATGCAAACCATAAGATAAAAATCAAAAAACAACTCAAGACACAACAACAGAACTATATAAAAGCAGCTATTGTACCCGAAGGAAGCACGGATGAACAAGAGAAGAGGATAACTATTATTAGTTTTGTATCTCAAAACAGGAGAAATAGGTGTTTGTGGCAAATAGTAAAAGACACGATTACATGAACAGAATCTACAAACTTAAAACTACGCGATACGAGATGTGAGAACCATAAGATCAAAATCGATAAACAACGAGACACGAACCTGCTGCAGTTAGAGTGTGGCAGTCACGAGGAGAAAACCATGGAGGGAGAAAACCATGGAGGCAAGGACTTAGGAGGAGGTGGGCTTGCATGAGATTTGAAGGAGGTGGTGGCCTGTAGTAGACAGCGGGAGAACTCACGATTGTTGATGATTTAGATCCATGCGGGTTCGTTGAGGTCGTAGAGGCCGCCGGGGTCGTCAGGGTCACCGGGGTCTAGTGCCCAAGACAAACAAGTCGAGGCGCGTGTGCGGTACGCTCCGGCCCTGACCCTGAGCATGCACGCCAAGTGAGCGAACCTGCCAGTCGTGTCGAGCGACCGGCGGTGAGCTCCGCCCACAGCCTCATCCGCGGCCGAGGGGTGGCGGCAATGGGCTGAGGCAAGATAGGGAAGACATGGCTCCAAGGTTAGGATTTTGGCTTTTTTTGAACTGGTTAGGGTTTTGGCTGGTTTGACGAGAAAGACGGCACGGTTAAGGTAGACCGGATAAGGTGGGAGTTGTGTTTATATAATATTAGGATGGCAGCGGGTCGTGTTCGGGGTGGGTCCCCATAGATCCGAAGGGGCGGGAGCGGAACAGTTTTCCCCCCATGGGTCGGTCTAGGATTTCCTTCACGCGTTCCTACAGGGACCCGAAATTTTAAAGGCCCGTGTACAAATCTAGCCCACGAGTGAGTAACTTGTGGCTTCGCAACCCATTCCGACACCTCTCCTGATCTCTGTCTACGCCGACATGAGTTGCTTTTTAGACCATTGGTCCAGCTTCTATTGAAAGCTTAATAGAGGGTAATGCTTGGGTTATCAAACTCTCCCAACTCACCGCCTAATGAAAGAAAGATAGCAAAATAGTTAACGACACTTAGACAAAACAAGCGACACCCTATACAAGTTCTAGAGGACCCAAAAGAAAGAAAAGAGAAAAGATAACTTAGACATGAGCTGCTTGTTGGACAGCTCCATCCAAGATGAAGCCTGATCTCCTAGACTACGAGATCAACTGCAGCTTAATGTTAGGAGCTCTATTGACACTGGCTGATTCTGATGGTCGTTTCGTTAGCCGTTTGGAGTTGGTGTTGGTTGGGCCGTATTGGCTGATTGTAATCAGATTTGGCCTAGGTAGGAATAGGGGCCTAGCCCAGAGTTGTGTGCGGGCGCTGCTTCTTATATGCTGCCCTTGTAACAGAAGATGGTTATGAAATAAATAACTGAAAACTCTGTTCCCCAACCTCCTGTTCGTCCTCCTCCCCTCTAAGCTCTACTGCTTCCAAATCCTTCCCCAAATTCCTGCTAATCTACCCTAAATTCCTATCCCAGCTACCCAAGTTCATGACAATTGGTATCCAGAGCCTCGATACCCTGTGGATTTCATCGGAAATTTTTCCTCCCTCTGATTCGTCGGTTTTGGGCTAGCGCCTGTGAAGAAGCCGACGAAGTCTGAGCAGCAGATTATGGCATTGCTAGAGGATCTCACCAAGCATTTCGAGGGCTTTCAGGACATGATGAAGCAATTCCTAGACAAGCTCTCCGCACTTGAAGCTCAGTAAGCCATCACGGAGGAGTCCATGGGGTATCTGTTGTTGAAGACCGACGCAGCGACGCTGCGCTTATAGCGTCTCGAGTCGACGACTACGGCGCTGATTCTACCTCCGCCTCCGCCTCTGCCTCCACCGAGTGGTTGGATTGGACCAACAGGCGCGGCGAGCTCGGCGCTGCAAAACAACAACAGGATGATGGTGGAGGTGTCTTTGGACCCCCACCACGCCTGGCCAATGGTATGTTACCGGAGACTCCCCCTCAGCCCCATGCTGGATATCATTTTGAGCGATATCAGGCCTTGTGTTCTGTCTCGCTGCCGAAAATGAAATTTCCCAAGTTTGATGGCACTAACCCTAGATTTTGGTCTGATCAATGTGAGACGTATTTCGAGCTTTATTCGGTGATGTCGACCCTGAAGACAAGCTTTGCAAGATTGAACTTCACGGGACCTGCAGCAGTTTGGCTTCAGATGATGGAGCGCAAGGAATGGTTTCAGGATTGGGAGACCATGAAGTTGGCGGTGATTTCACGTTATGATCGGGATTAGTACCAAATTCATTTGTGCCAGCTTCAGGCCTTGAAGCAAGTGGATTTGGTAACATCTTATCATAGTCAGTTTGAGGAGGTTTCCCATAGTATCTTGCTGTACAACCCTTCATATGATGAGCCATTCTTTGTCACGTAATTTCTTGGGGGTCTTCAAAGGAGATTCGCTCTGCTATAGCTCTGCATAGGCCCAAGACTATCTAAGATGCAAGTGAGCTTGCACTTTTGCAGGAGCTAGAATTAGAGTCGGTCAGAACCAAATATGTTGTTAAGTCATTTGCAAAGTTTCAGCCATGACCTACTCTTGTGGGAGATACGGTTAGAATGCCGCAAAAGAAGGAGGAGCACAAGATTCAAGCCAAGAACAATTCGGCAGCCTCTGAAGATAAGCTGCAAGCCCTGAAATCTTATCGCAGACCCAATGGCCTGTGCTTTGTATGTGGTGAAAAGTGGACTGGCAAGAATCATCAGTGCCCCACTCATATTCCAATTCATGTTATCTAGGAGCTCAAGGAAACAGTGCAAGTTGATTCTGATCCTGATCATTCATCATCTGAGGAGGATGCTGAGGCTACAGCTGAGCAAGTGGTAATGGCTATTCAGCAATAGTCAGAAGCTGTCCCTGTCAGTAACTCAAAAAAGAAGAATAGAACATTAAGTTTCAGGGGCTTTGTTGGCACTCAAGAAGTATTGATTCTCTTGGATTCAGGGAGTGCAGGAACCTTTGTCAGTCTAGAAGTGGCTTCTAAAATACAGCAGAAACAGCAACTCTGTTGAAAGCATCTAGGCCCCTAGTTGGGTTTCGATGATTAATGACAATACGTGATTACTATGACTAACGTGTGTTTTGCAGAGGCAATTAAGTTAGGTCATGGTAATGGAAATTGATTGGGCAATCATGGTTGTCATGCCCCTACGATGGAAATCATTTCAGTTTTCAAAGGATGGATGACAAGGTTAAGGATGGACTAGTTCTAAGTGTCATTTGGTGTTGAAGAGACACTTAGAGTAGTTTAGG